ATTTCTACTTTTGTAACCACACCGTATCCCTAATTCTTAGCCTTAACCACTTCTTGACCATTAGCAACACCTTCAGCAACATTCATGTCATCTACTTGACCATCTCCAATAATTGCATTAGTTGGGTTTTTTCTTCGGTAGTCTATAATCCGTATACAGTTATCCACAATATTACGTAGTTATACTATACTTCAGACTTGGAAAAATCTATTTTTTGCCAAATTGAATAGTAGCACACAACACCAACCAAATTCCACAAAAAGTAAAACCATCATCAACGATTCCAGTGAACAAGAACTCAAGTAATTCACACTAATCGCAATCTAAGATCAAGATCATGAGATTTCTTTAAAATTCAGTCAAAATTTAGTTTAACCTTTGTTTGCAGGTTTCTCAGCCGTATGAGGAAGCAAATCAACATGGCGAATTACAGACTCGTTGATCATCACCGTTGGACCATCCAGCAACGGCGGAGACGAGCTTCGTAGACGGAGAAGAGACACCACCGTGGTGAGTACATGCCGTCATTTTTGTCGAAGTTGAGAACATACGTACCATTGCGGACGGGTCCATTGCGAACTCAGTTGATTGCGACTCATCGTTGTTTGCTTCTTCTTCTTCATTGCCATCTTCTTCTTCTTCTTCTTCATCGACATCTTCATCAACATCTTCTTCCTCTTCCTATGCATTCCTAGAATCCCTTCTGTTACTTACCCGTCCTCTCCATTTACAAAATCTTCATCTGCATTCCCAGAATCTCCTTCTTTTGCTTCCATTTTCCATCTTCTACTTCTTCTCTAGGCTTCTCTTTCTCGCTTGTTTCTATCACCACCGATACGGGTTCATCCGATTCCTTCTCCGAATTCTCATAATATTATTCTTTTGCTTCTCCTTATCCATCTTCTACTTCTTCTTCGGGCTTATCTTTCTCGCTTGTTTTTGTCACCACCGGTACGGATTCACTCGGTTCCTTCTCCGAGTTCTTCGAATTCTTCTTCTTTGATCCACTCTTCGATACATCATCATTCACGTCGAACTTTTGAATCATTGTCTTCACCATTGGAATGGAATTCAAACACTAGATTTCGATCCCAAACCTAGTTATCTTTCTCGTTTGAATGGTTTCGAAATCAAGAGGGAGAATCGAAAGAGATCAATAGAAATAAGGTTTGGTTGATTTGAGGATGATTTGTGGATTTTCCCTCTTTTCATTCAATCGATTTTTTATGTGGATTGGATCCGATTAAAAACCAACTCGGATGAATATTGCTTGGTTGAGACCATTTATTATTCTTGAAACCCTAATAACCTATGCCTAACTTACATTAATATTGAATAACCTACGCCTAGCTTAGATTATATATTGAAATCGGTTACATTCAATTGACATTTAGAAATTCTTTTACATTCGTCTCTTATCAACAAATAAAAGTCATTTAATTTTTTTTTCCTCTATGATGATAATATTATAGATCTAAATAACTTGAAATATTCATGGGACATTCCCGTAAGAGTAGAAATCGATACTTTTTTTTATACTGAAGTAAATTTTTGCAATTATATCTAAAGAATTTATTTTATAAACATTCTATCATGATTCATACATGAATTTGACCACATGATAATATGTTCTCTTATAACAATACTCTTATTATGTGGTCAAATTTATGCCGCGACCTTCTCCATATTTTTTTTTGGTGTAGTTTTGATTTCTATACAATTAATTAATGGGGCAATTGCAAAAATTCATTTTTGGTGTTTCACTTTGCAAAAATGCCACATTGGGTTGTTCATTTGCAAAAATGCCACAAATTTTTAAGGTTTACATTTTAAAATTTTAATCCCTAAAAAATGTTTTGACCCCTAACAAACCCTAAACCCTCAAAACTATACTCAATATAGTTAATCCAAAAATAAATAATATAATGAATAATTCAAAAAATGATATTTTTGCAAAGATTTTGAAAAAATGACATTTTTAAAAAGTGGTATTTCAAAAGTGGCATTCCTCAAAATTTCTCTTAATTAATTGACTTTTTAATATATTAATATCATATTTGGGATCACCAGCCCAAGCATCCTATAGGAAGAAGAGCTTTTATTTTTTTTAAGTCACAACCAAAAACATAGAACTATAGCTACAACAAAAAATACAATAACCAAAATTCGATAGGCAAAATTTAAGAGCTACAACTCTTTTCAATCAGGCCCAATATTCAACTTTTACATTTAAAAAATCAATTTAACATTTTCATATCTATTTTATATTTAATAAAAAAATAATTATGAAAAATTCAATCTAAAATAAAATTCTTTAGAAATAACTATAATTATGAAAAGGTATACTAGGTTTGTATGAAAATAAAAATAATTAATTTTTATTTGTTTACATATTAATCTTGTAATATTTTGATGTCGAATTCAAGTGAAAAAATGTTTTTTTTAAAGATTATCAAATGGGAGGATCAATATTTTATGAGAGGAATCTCACTTTTTATAATAGATCATGTACTTTCGGTATATTAGAATTATTATATATTTGATTTAACACATTTATGTATATAAAATGATAAAATAATAAAATATTAAAACTAAACTTTTGCCAAATTCATATTATTAAAAAAAAAATATTGTTGACAAACAGAATTAACAATAAAAATATCATTAACAATGTCTATAATAAAATCAAAACCAATACATATTTTCAAAATGTAAAAATTATAAATAAGTTATTCGCGTGTACGCAGACGAATCATCTAGTATAAAAATGTAAATGTTGACAACCAGTTATAAAAAAAAACCAAGACCTAATATAGGTATTGGGTAGGGTTAATTTGCTCAATAATCAAAAAATTTTAGTAATTAAGCAAATAACCAAAATTGCCTCACGTGACCAAATGATAATCATTAAGTTATTGGATTAGATTTTTAGATATAATTGTTTTGTTGGTTATTTATGCCAATTACCCATATGGGTATCATTTTGTGTTTCAATGATAGTCTCCTCCATTTGTTGTCCAAAAAAAATAAAATGATAGACTCCATTTATTTTTGACCAAAAAAGTAAGTACGGCAAAAGGTCGAAAACGGTGAGTCATCAGATTCCTTCTTTCAAATTTCGATCCTTTGATTCCACTTATTTTCTCATATGCATGTAA